AGGGGTAGAGAGAGAGAGGGAGAGAGAATCCCAAGCAGGCTACATTCTGTCAGCACAGAGTCTGATGCAGAGCTCAAACTCATGAACTGTGAGATCGTGACCTGAGCTGAAACCAAGAGTTGGAGGCTTAACCAACTGAGCCCCCCCAGGTGCTCTACTCATATAAGGCTTTTAAATGCATCAAGTAGAATCCAGATTTCAGAGCAATTTGATATCTACGGTCATCCACTAAAAATGCCCCAAACAGTTCTTTAACAGTTAGAAGCTTTAAAATGTAATTTTCTTCTTGTACTCATAGTCCATTCTACTTTTCTCATAGAATTATATACTGCTGCATTTCATGCTTTATTGATCATTGTTATCTGCAAGAAAATGTGTACAAAAACTGACATTAATTTAAAAAGTTATTTCCTGTGACCATAGGGCTGTGAGTGTTACATTTCTTCTGGAATTTATTATTATTACAATATTATTAGTTCACAATTGATCAAAACATTATTTGAGTTTTTATATTATTATAAGTATTATTTCAAATATTAATAATTATTGAACATGAAAAGTAGAATTTTATTGGAAAGACATCTCTTAATGACCACTGGTGGGGTTGAATTTTTCCAAGTAATTACTATGTCTGTGGATGAATATTACTCATTGCTGGAATGAGACTGGGATCAACATAAATTCTCTTCCTATTTTTCATTTTTATAGACAAGCTCTGAGGAATCTAATTTGCATAAATTAGATGGGAAAGAGAAATTTCATTATAGAAATGTCAGCCAATTCTCTGAATACCTCTGAGTTATATGATTAAAAACTATATAATGATCTATCATCAAAAATTATTTTCAAAGATTAGCTGGCAACTTAATTAGGTCTTTTTTCAATTTTGTTGAAAGCAAAGACTGGGAAACCAATCAACCTGTAAAGGATTTGTTACCCACCCCTAAGTGTTGTTCAGGATCTTAGCTTCTGGAATTATACAAACAAAGCTTTGTGAAGATTTATCACATGATTATTAATTATATCTACTATTTTTTCACTTAGAGGCACTTTTTTTTAAGTTTATTTATTTTGAGAGAGAGAGAAAAGGCAAGTGGGGGAGGGACAGAAAGAGAGGAAGAGAAAGAGAATCCCAAGCAGGCTCCATGAGCTCGAATTCCTGAACCCTTGAACTGTGAGATCATGACCTGAGCTGTGACTGACTGAGCCACCCAGGCGCCCTAAGGCCCCTTGTTTAAATTAATATACTTACAGGGGCGCCTGGGTGGCTCAGTCGGTTAAGTGTCCGACTTCAGCTCAGGTCACGATCTTGCGGTCCGTGAGTTCGAGCCTCGCGTCGGACTCTGGGCTGATGGCTCAGAGCCTGGAGCCTGCTTCCGATTCTGTGTTTCCCTCTCTCTCTACCCCTCCCCCGTTCATGCTCTGTCTCTCTCTGTCTCAAAAATAAATAAACATTAAAAAAATTTAAAAAAATTAAAAAATTGATATACTCACAAAGGATTTGGAAAGTAAAAATGTTAATTTCAATACACTTTTTTAAAAATAATTTTCAGATTAAAAAATTTTTTTTACATTTTATTTATTTTTGTTTTTTTATTTTTTTATTTATTTTTAATTTTTTTTTAACGTTTATTTATTTTTGAGACAGAGAGAGACAGAGCATGAACAGGGGAGGGTCAGAGAGAGAGAGACACAGAATCCGAAACAGGCTCCAGGCTCTGAGCGGTCAGCACAGAGGCGGAAGCGGGGCTCGAACTCACAAACGTGAGATCGTGACCTGAGCCAAAGACGGACGCTCAAACGACTGAGCCACCCAGGCGCCCCTCAATACACTTTTGCTATGACAGTTTTTAAAAATCAAATCCTTCTAGGGGCGCCTGGTGGTTCAGTTGGTTAAGTGTCCGACTTCGGCTCAGGTCATGATCTCACGGTTCGTGAGTTCGAGCCCCAGGTTGGGCTCCGTGCTGACAGCTCAGAGTCTGGAGCCTGCTTAGGATTCTGTGTCTCCCTCTCTCTCTGCCCCTCCCCCACTCATTCTCTGTCTCTCTGTCTCAAAAGTAAACACAAATAAATAAATAAATAAATAAATAAATAAATTTCATTAAAAAAAATCCTTCTACCTTATCACATACTTCAAATACATTTTCATTAAAATGTATTCATACATTGAAGCTGCAGACTTAATTATGAAAAACATCTGTGACATTCTTATTGGCAAACCAATCCTCATTGTTAAATAATCAGCCAGATAAAATTACTTTCTATCAGAGGTTTCTCATTTTTCAATTCAAATAGTTATGTTAAATACATGTCCTATTCATATTAAAAAATTTTTTTTTAACGTTTATTTATCATTGAGAGACAGAGAGAGACAGAGCATGAGCATGGGAGGGGCAGAGAGAGGAGGAGACACAGGGTCAGAAGCAGGCTCCAGGCTCTGAGCTGTCAGCACAGAGCCTGACGTGGGGCTCGAACTCACAAACCGGGAGATCATGACCTGAGCTGAAGTCAGACGTTTAACCAACAGAGCCACTCAGGTGCTCCAACAATCATCTTAATTCTGAATTTTAAGAAATATAGGGGTGCCTGGATGGTTCAGTCAGTTAAGTGTCCGACTCTTGATTTCGGCTCAGATCTTGATCTCATTCCCTCTTAGGATTCTCTCTCTCCCAATCTCTCTCTGCCTCTCCCCTCCTCCCTCTCTCAAAATAAATAAACATTAAAAAAAGAAATATAGGGGGGCGCCTGGGTGGCGCAGTCGGTTAAGCGTCCGACTTCAGCCAGGTCACGATCTCGCAGTCCGTGAGTTCGAGCCCCGCGTCGGGCTCTGGGCTGATGGCTCAGAGCCTGGAGCCTGTTTCAGATTCTGTGTATCCCTCTCTCTCTGCCCCTCCCCCGTTCATGCTCTGTCTCTCTCTGTCCCAAAAATAAATAAACGTTGAAAAAAAAAATTAAAAAAAAAAAAAGAAATATAGGTAAGACATAAAGCCTTCCTCTCATAGAACAATTATGTCACAAAGATTTTCACTATTTCTCACTAATGCTTTTTACTTTATTCTCATGGATCTCTCCACATATATTTTTTGACAGTAGAGGATGGATTTAAAAACGTTAAAAAATATTGAGAGTTTTCCTTTCCTCTGTCACACTGCAGTTTTTGTACTCCAAGCCAAGCATCATGGCAAGACTGGGGCTGAATGAGAGCATACCTTCCTTTTGTGTACTGGGGGAAGGGTGCTTGGGGAGGGGAGGTGGGAAGCTAGAGCTGACATGACTCCTCAACCACAGCGGTTTTAGGCAAGTACGTATGGAAGTTGAGGATCTGGTAAAAAATTAATCACTTAAATCCATTCACGCCTGTGTGCCCCTTCTAAAGTCTTTGTGGACCACCAGGACACAAATCTCTTTAGTTTGGAGACCCCTGGACCAGAAGATCATCTGGCCAGGACACCTCTGCAGGTACTGTGTGGCTACACCAAAGGGTCACTTTGGTGGGTCTCTCTGAATAGCTGGACACAGCTGGAACTTTATAATAAGAATTGTAGAAGTAACTGGGCAGGTCTATATATGATGGCTGTAGGTAGTGAGGCATTTGCCTTGAGGTGGTTTACAAAAGGGGCCCCCCAGGCACCTAGCAGTGCAGTGAGTATGTGTCTAGGAAAGGCTGGCTGACCAGCTGGTGAGCAGGCAAGAGGCTTCATGATGGCCTCTAGCACTTTAGAGATTACCACGGGCCAGGGCCAGAACTTCTGCCTCGCAGGCTCAAAACCCTAGCTTGACAGCATGTGGAGAGTGGGTGTATAACGCACATGACTGAGTTATAAAATCCAGAAGTCAATGTGCTGATTTACAAGGAGAAATCATTGGCATGGGGACTGACTCCAAAATCTGTAGGTAGATCTACATGGAACGCCCCAGGTAGCATGTTTTCAGAATTCAGAGAACTGTACCTTGCTGCTTGATAATGTCAAGAACTGCAAAAGGTCTAAGACCTGATGCCAGTGGTGTAAGATGTTCCCTCCCCAGGGACACCTGAAGGGTGTGCCAACCAGGTTGGCCTGCAGTTGCTGTTAGGGGAAAGAAAGATGCATCATGGACAGGATGGAATACTAAATTTTCGAAATAGGCTGTATAACTCCCCACCCTTATTGTCCTGATCATCACCCTGGAGGTAAACAGCAGATGAACCCTTTCTGGAGATGACTGCATTCATTGCCCATACTAAGTTGTGTGGACTAGGAGGAAGGAAGGGAGACGGAGTCAAAAATCTTTTTGAGTTGATTAAAAAAATTTTTTTTTGGTTGATTTTTTTAAGTGTTAATTTATTTTTGAGAGAGAGGACAGAGTGTGAGTAGGGGACAGTCAGAGAGAGAGGGAGACACAGAATCTAAAGCAGTCTCCAGGCTCCAAGCTGTCAGCACAGAGCCCCACGTGGGGCTTGAACCCAAGAACCATGGGATCATGACCTGAGCCAAAGTTAGACGCTTAACCAACTGAGCCACCCATGCGCCCTTGAGTTGATTTTTGAAAGGCCATTTCCAATGTTCAACAAAATCAGGTGCCTGCAGATGGTGGGGAGTATGGAATGCCCATCAAATACTTTGACTACGGCCCAAAGGGTGGCCTTTGTGTTGCCCTTCTCCCCAAATCCTACAGGGGTGATGTGGACCAGATGGCTGTCACACATGTGGTGAGCAGCATTATAGGGCAACAACACTGAGTTCAGGGAACTTACCTTTTTTTATAGCAAGCAGTAAGAAAGCTCGCTCTTTGCTCTGAAGGGAGACATTACTTCATTTTTCGGGGTTGCTTCCTGGAACATAACCCTGAGAAATGCTCTGGGTGAAGAGTGGTTAGGGCCTTGCACTCTTGACATACTCAGCAGGATGTGGGAGTCCAAGAGACTCATGGAGGAGTCTCTCAACAGATATGCCCATGCAGCTATCAATGTCCTCACATTCATACCAATGACCAACGCTTAAAAAAATCAAACAAACAGGTAAAGCTTATCAAAGAATTCTAATTAAAGAAGAGGATCTCTTGAAATAAGAAACATCGCTCCCTTAACTCATTCTTCCTTTTTGGTACCTTCTTCCTAGTGTTTTTCAATCACAAAATAAGGCATTACTTTTTCTTTAGAATTGATTTCCTATAATAACAAAAGCTGTTTTTCATGGTCTTTTGATGACTTAATTTCCTTTTCTTCTTAGATATTCTCCTGAAAGAAACCAGAACATGGTTATTACTTGTGAGCAGCAAATTATCACCACAATATGATTCATTAATTTATTTATTCCACAGACATTGGGAGTGACTACCATGTGCCAGATGCTGGACATACAAGGATGACTGGATAGTTAACCCATCGCTGCTCTCAAAGATATATATGTTTCCTAGAATCTTTCATAATAAAACATTTAAAAATAGTTATAATTCTTTATTTCCCAAATTTTCTGTAATTATCGTGTATAATTTTGATATAATTTTTTGATAGTGAAAAATATAATTAAAAGAAAAACAAGGGAAGGAAACAGAAGTAATGAGATAAGTAACTGGCTCCTGAGTAGGTGTCAGGCCTCAATCATCCTTCATGAGAATCCAACCACTTCCAAGATAGCCCATCCCTTCCTAGAGCAGGAGGATTTTTATTTATTTATTTTTTTGAGAGAGAGAGAGCAAGGAGGGGAGGAGCAGAGAAAGAGAGGCAGACACAGGATCTGAAGCAGGCTCCAGGTTCTGAGCTATCAGCACAGAGCCCGATGCAGGGCTCAAACTCATGAACTGTGAGATACGACCTGAGCCAAAGTCAGTCGCTTAACTGACTGAGCCACCCAAATGCCTTGAGCAGTAGGATTTTAGTAGCACGATGTCAGCTATCTCCTTCTAACTAGTATAGATTCTTTGGAGTATTTTGTGGTTGTAAACAAGAACTTCAACCTTTACTGCCAGCCACAGAATCTACTTTACAGGGCTGAGGCAACTTCCCTGGTCTCCAAGGGAGACCTGGGGAATTAGCCCTGGGCCCCAGTTGATAGGATAGAATCTGGCCTCTTGACAGCCTAATTCCCCCTTTCCCTAGCCTCATCTTCTGGATACCTTTAATTATATAATTAACCCAAATCTACATGTCTCTGTTCTGTCTTCCTGCTCCAGCCCTAGTCTACTGAAACTGAACTTCCCTCAAATTTTGACACCTGCCCAGAAAAGGACCTTGGTGGTTGTAATTGCCTGTTCCTCCCATGTTGGAGGTCACTCCTTCTGTGTCTTCTTCAGGTTCAGTCCTATTTACTCTTAGAATACCTCATTGCCAGCTGTGTAGCATGGTTTATGACACTCCATGACAGGAAACTATTTATAACAACTGGGAAGTTCTGTGCATACATACATTTGTGTGTGTGTGTGTGTGTGTGTGTGTGTGTGTGTGTGTGTGTGTGTGTTTCTGTGATGGTACTTAATTTCTCAGTTTTTTAAGATTCATTTCTCTGCAGCCTTCCCTGATTCTGCTAGGCAGAGGCTATTCATTTATTTGTTCATCAAACATGTATTAATTACCTACTCAACACTAGAGGCTGTTTTAGGTACTGGAGATAGGAGATTAAGACACAATTCTTATCTTCTAGGGGCTCACAATCTAGGTAAACAAAGAGCTCTAATGGCAATGATAGTAAAGGTATGCATAAAATGCATAGCATAGCGGGAATATGCATAGTGCATAGCCCAAGAACTGACTTGTATCTCCATTGATGATTAGGAATTTGACAACTGAATGTGAAGGGGCAGGGCAGAAAGGGACACTTATTTTTAGACAGCATGTATAGAGGCCTGGGAGGTAGAGACTATGTCTGCTTACAGCTTTGATATCCTTGTTTATTTGGATAGAAGAACACACATGGTAGATCATCACTGAATATGTGTTGAAAGAATGAAAGAATGGCTGCTTTCCTCACTAGTAGAAGTAGAGGATTCTACTATCTTAAAGGAGTGTTCAAGTAACACCCCCCCCCCAATTTTTTTTTTAGGAATTTAGGTTTACATTTAAAAATCTGAACACAAATATAATTTATCATTCATTAAGCTCAACTCTCATAGGTATAATTTCCCAGTTAGTCCTATATTAGATCTTTATTCAAAAACATAAAGACAGAAGAGGAATGCAGTAGACATCAATAAGGTAGCTGCCTGGCTCAGTAATTTTTCTGTAAAAGGCTCCTTTACATAGGGTGGCCCCCAGCACTTAACATTTCTGTTTTGTTTTGTTTTGTTTTGTTTTTTACCCTGCTGCCTTCCTCACCCCTAACGCCCCAAAAGCTGACTGATATAGGGGTAAACCATATGACCCAAGACTTGTCAAATCAGTATCCTAAAAGAAATTAAGAGGCAGTATGTGAGCCTTGGCCATGATACCAGCCAGGAAAGGCTTTGCAATAGGACAGAACAAAGCTGATGCCCTTAGAAACAGACTAGAGGGGTGCCTAGGTGGCTCAGTCTGTTGAGCATCTGACTCTTGATTTTGGCTTGGTCATGATCCCAGGGCCGTGGGATTGAGCCCCACATTGGGCTCAGCACTGAGCTTGGAGCCTACGTAAGATTCTCCTTCTCTCTCTCCCCCTTTTTTTCCTCTACCCCCTCCCCTGCTTGTACTCACTTTCATGCTCTCTATCTAAAAAAAAGAAAGAAAGAAAGAGAAAAAAAGAGACTAGAGAAGCATTCTAGCGGTATTTCTGTCCCTGGAGTCCATTTTCCCTGTGGTTCAGCTGCACTAACTCCAGTACTCTTCCAATAAATTCCTCCTTTCTGCCCTCGGTGGTGTGAATTGGTTCTCAGTTACTGGCAGTCAGAAGGCCTCACTACCATAGGGAACGAAGACAGGCAGAGGGAGACAAACTTACCCAGTTTCTCTGTGGCTTCCACACAAACACTAGGATACATGCCTTCAGTGTAAGTTGCCACTAGAAGATACAGATGGGTCTTCACAACAACCACACCAGTGTTTTCCTGGATAAGAGTAAAACAGAATGCCTTCTTTTGGTTCTTGTCACAGGACTAGCAGTTGCACTTCAGCCACATTTCTTGCCATTTCTTTACTTCCATAACGCTGATAAATACCTGTTTTTGGACTCTTCACTCTTTTCCACTAATTTAGTTGTCTTTTCTCAAAAAATTTCAGACTTGTAATAACAGCATGTGTGTTTTGAGAAAGTTCCCCAGCTGATTGTAATCTACCTCTATCTCAATGAGAACAAATGATATAATGAAAAGGTTATACATTTTGGAATTGGACAGCTTTGGGCTTGAATCCCGGCACCTCCATTTTCTGCTGCATGACTAAGGAAGAATTATTTAACCTCGTTAAATCTCAGTTTCGTCACCTGAAAAATGAGGCTACTTACTTTATAATACGGATGAAGTATGCTTATGCCATAATATAGGGCATCCAATAAATGTGAATTTCATCTCCTTGTTTCCTTACAGGCAACAGAGAGCCAAGAGAGGTTTTAAGCACATGAATGCTGACTTTTTCTTTTTTCTTTTCTTTTTTTAAGAAAGAGCATGTAGAGTATGGAGTAGTGAAAGGAGATACTTTAGGCAAGGTTAAGTTGACAGATTCTGGAATGAGTATTTCTCAGCTAGGCTCTCTGTTCATACTTTCTTTTACTTATGCCTTCCTGGCATTAGACTGCTGTCTCAGACATTGCCACTGCAATAATGGGCTCAGTTTGTTTTATAAATGGGATCAGTAGGGACAGAGCAAGTTGGAGTCAAATTCTTAAGGTTTTTTACCTAGCCATCTTCAAATCTTGAACACTCACATTCTTAGCATAAAGAGAATAGTCATCTGCCCGGACACATTTGTAGTCCTTTTCCTTGAAATACAGTCCTTCTCTTCTGGTTTGCAAAGGGTTCTTGGCGAATCCATTCACAAGAGTTCGGACATCACTGGGCATTACCTGCAGAAGTTAGACTAGGAGTGGGCAAACTATGGCAGGCTGGCCAAATTTGGCCCACTACCTGTTTTTGTAGGCCTGGAAGCTAAGAATGTTTTTTTCTATTATTAAGTCATTGGAAAAAACAAATAGTATATTTTGTGATATGTAAAAATTACATGAAATTCAAATTTCAGTGTTCATAAAGATTTATTGGAACACAGTCACACCCATTTTTTAATGTACTGTCCTTGCTTGTTTCCCCATTAAAACTGCATAGTTGGGGCGCCTGGGTGGCGCAGTCGGTTGAGCGTCCGACTTCAGCCAGGTCACGATCTCACGGTCCGTGAGTTCGAGCCCCGCGTCGGGCTCTGGGCTGATGGCTCAGAGCCTGGAGCCTGTTTCCGATTCTGTGTCTCCCTCTCTCGCTGCCCCTCCCCCGTTCATGCTCTGTCTCTCTCTGTCCCAAAAATAAGTAAAAACGTTGAAAAAAATTAAAAAAAAACAAACAAACTGCATAGTAGTGTACTTGTGACATGGGCCATATAGCCCAGAAACCGAAAATGTTTACTATGGCTCTTTACAGAAAGAGTTTGTAATACTTATGCCCAAACTGGCTTTTTCTTACACTAAATCCTGGTGATGCTACACTCAAGCTTCGCTCCTGGAGTTTGATGAGGGCTGCACTGTCCACATGCTTTGTTCCCAGGAGGGTATCTAACAGTAAGTTCTGCAAATGGCTCATGCTCCCTCAGCCCTGAAAAAGGGAACCGCAGTTGATATGATTCACCCTATGAGAATACAAACCTCCCTAAGACCCTTTGGACAGGTCTCAGCGTGAAAACTGTGGTCCGTTACCTAATATCCAAAGAGGAAAATAGAATAATAGAAAATCACAGTTCACAAAGCAGGTTATTAAGTGAGCTTAGAAAATCACTGCTCATAATTTTCTAGTTATGTCAGTGGTTCACATCGGAATCATCTGAGACTATAAACCCCAAAGCGTGGCACAAAAACAGACACATAGACCAATGGAATAGAATAGAAACCCCAGAACTAGACTCACAAACGTATGGCCAACTCATCTTTGACAAAGCAGGAAAGAACATCCAATGGAAAAAAGACAGTCTCTTTAACAAATGGTGCTGGGAGAACTGGACAGCAACATGCAGAAGGTTGAAACTAGACCACTTTCTCACACCATTCACAAAAATAAACTCAAAATGGATCAAGGACCTGAATGTGAGACAGGAAACCATCAAAACCCTAGAGGAGAAAGCAGGAAAAGACCTCTCTGACCTCAGCCGTAGCAATCTCTTACTCAACACATCCCCAAAGGCAAGGGAATTAAAAGCAAAAATGAACTACTGGGACCTTATGAAGATAAAAAGCTTCTGCACAGCAAAGGAAACAACCAGCAAAACTAAAAGGCAACCAACGGAATGGGAAAAGATATTTGCAGATGACATATCGGACAAAGGGCTAGTCTCCAAAATCTATAAAGAGCTCACCAAACTCCACACCCAAAAAACAAATAACCCAGTGAAGAAATGGGCAGAAAGCATGAATAGACACTTCTCTAAAGGAGACATCCGGATGGCCAACGGGCAGATGAAAAGATGCTCAACGTTGCTCCTTACCAGGGAAATACAAATCAAAACCACACTCAGATATCACCTCACCCCAGTCAGAGTGGCCAAAATGAACAAATCAGGAGACTATAGATGCTGGAGAGGATGTGGAGAAACGGGAACCCTCTTGCACTGTTGGTGGGAATGCAAATTGGTGCAGCCACTCTGGAAAACAGTGTGGAGGTTCCTCAAAAAATTAAAAATAGACCTACCCTATGACCCAGCAATAGCACTGCTAGGAATTTACCCAAGGGATACAGGAGTACTGATGCATAGGGGCACTTGTACCCCAATGTTTAGAGCAGCACTCTCAACAATAGCCAAATTATGGAAAGAGCCTAAATGTCCATCAACTGATGAATGGATAAAGAAATTGTGGTTTGTATACACAATGGAATACTACGTGGCAATGAGAAAGAACGAAATATGGCCCTTTGTAGCAACGCGGATGGAACTGGAGAGTGTGATGCTAAGTGAAATAAGCCATACAGAGAAAGACAGATACCATATGTGTTCACTCTTACATGGATCCTGAGAAACTTAACAGGAACCCATGGGGGAAGGGAAGAAAAAAAAAAAAAGAGGTTAGAGTGGGAGAGAGCCAAAGCATAAGAGACTCTTAAAAACTGAGAACAGGGGCGCCTGGGTGGCGCAGTCAGTTAAGCGTCCGACTTCAGCCAGGTCACGATCTTGCGGTCTGTGAGTTCGAGCCCCGCGTCAGGCTCTGGGCTGATGGCTCAGAGCCTGGAGCCTGTTTCCGATTCTGTGTCTCCCTCTCTCTCTGCCCCTCCGTTCATGCTCTGTCTCTCTCTGTCCCAAAAATAAATAAACGTTGAAAAAAAATTAAAAAAAAAACTGAGAACAAACTGAGGGTTGATGGGAGGTGGGAGATAGGTATTGAGGAGGGCACCTTTTGGGATGAGCACTGGGTGTTGTACGGAAACCAATTTGACAATAAATTTCATATGTTGAAAAAAAAACTATAAAAAAATAAAAATAAACCCCAAGGCGAAAAACACCTGCGGGATGCACAGCCAATGATCTAAGCAAGGCTGAATGAGATCCTGATCCTGATAATGAGTCCTCACATTCTCTTACCGCTCGCAGACCAGCATCAGCGCCAACTATAGGCTCTGATACAGGGGACTGAATAAACCTTTAACGCATTTAAAGCGACATTTCCCGTCTTCATAAGGGAAACCTCCACAAACACTCGTCCTTCTAAGGGATAATTCTGAGGGCAGCGCCCCTTCCCGGTCATCCCTGGGGTGTTTCCTGAAGTGGGACTGGAGGCCAGGAAGGAGGACCACTGTCTAGTCCGGTTGGCCGGGAGACGCCCAGAGGGCTCAGGGGAGCACGGTGAGCCTGGCGGAGGCAGAAGGAACCAAGCACCCAGGAAAAGCCGTCCCGTCAACGGTCGCGGGGGGGGGGGGGGGCGCCCCCCCCGGGGCGGGAAGGCGATGTGCCTCGCTATTGGCTGCGATGGCTGTCCGTCACCGAGAAGGGCTTCGGTTTGGCTCTCTAACCACCACCCGCCCACTAGTGCGGGCACCACAGGTGTTCAGGTTACAAACCCGCCGGACTGGTCTTGAGGAGCGCAGTTGGGTGCGGCTCAGGAGTTCCGGGGCCGCTCTCCAGGCCCTGAGCCCCGCAGAATTCTGACTCGTCGTCGTCTGTCGCGGCACAGGGTCCGTTGGGGGTGCGTCGGGAGACGCTAGACGCGAACGTTCTGCCATTCCGAGGCGACGGGCCCGATCTGAGGGGGCCGCAGGCTCCGGCGGGCTCACTCTCCGCAGCCGACGACTGCTGGGCCGTGGGCCGTCGGGCCGGGCCCCCGCGTGCTGCAGGGAGCCGAGGGCCCAGTCAGTCTTGGGGGAGGGAGGAGCTGGGGTATCTGTCGTGGTCCGCAACTCTCCTGCCGGGCCGGGCAGAGCACGCACGCATCTTGCGGACGGGGTGGGAGGGGAGGGATGGGGGTCGTGGGTGCTGTAGGTCTACAGCGGGCGCAAGCCTTAATGATAGCTTCCCCCTCAGATGACAGTCCTTGTGTGTGTATGTGTTGGGGGGAGTGCTTTGGGCGTCCTAGAGCTTGAGGTCACGCAGAGATGGTCTGAAAACCCCTCCTTTCTATATAAGCAGCCCTGCTTGTGTGGGCTTCGGTAGCCAGGAACTTGCAACTCTCCGGGTTGGCGGCCCTCGGTCAGGAAAGTGCTGCAGTGCGACCCCTAGAGACCCGGCTGGTAATTGCCACCCCGGCTCCGACGGGCTGTGTTGTAGGAGGACGTGGGAAGCCTGGAATTACAGGGGGACGCGGGTCAGTCCAGGGAGAACCTCCCCTGCTTAGAAGAGGCTGGGTCTGAAGACATCATCAGAAACCTCATGGTGAAGGCCTCTGTGTGGGTGGCTGCTAATTCAGAATCCGTTCCACACCTGTTCGTAGTGGCCAAGGCTTGTTAATTAAGAGAAAATAGGACTGAAGCCTCATTAACGAGTAAGTGAATCTTCTAGTTTTTCTAGGAGCTCCGTTATTTGCGACCACAATGACAAATTTAGACAGTGATGATATGCTAACTGACAAGCTTCATAAGCCCAAGAGCTCGAAAGAATGGTTGGAACCACAGCCACTTCATCTTATGGAGGTAACGGTAGTATGGCATTTTGAAGTTTATATTTGGGCAGTTGCACTGAGATCTGGCTTGTGCTTAACAGTTTTTCTATGTTTTGTGCTTCATTTCTGTCCTTTATTATTCCATTTATTCTACTTTGTATTTTCATTTTCTAGTTTCTTAAGGCGGAATCATCGGTAATTGATTATAGGCCTTTACTGTATAACAAAGTTAATAAGTTTCTCCTGAAGCGCTCTTAAAAAAAATAAAAAGTTTATCCATTTTTGAGGGAGAGAGAGCTCACGTGAGCGGGGGAGGGGCAGACACAGAAGGGGAGAGAGACTCTCAAGCAGGCTGAGTCCTGCCAGCACTGAGCTGGACTTGGGGTGCCATCTCATGAACTGTGAGATCATGACCTGAACGGAAATTGAGAGTTCGGTGCTCAACTGACCGAACCACCCAGGCGCCACTCTCCTGAAGTACTCTTGCAAGCTGCATCACCTAAATTTATATATGTTTGTATTTTGGAAAACATATATATATGTTGTATTATATATGTTTGTATATTTGTAATTTCTTTTTTTCTAAACAGCTTTATTAAGGTATAATTGGTACACAATAAACTGCGTATATTTGAAGTGTACAGTTTGAACATTTTTGACACATGTAGCCACACGTGAAACCACCACAATTAAGAGAATGAACGTATTCGTTATGCCCCAAATTTCCTCCTCCTGTACCTACCCTCCTTCCTTTGCCTATCCCCAACCAAGGCAATCACTGATGTGCTGTCACTTGGGTTAATTTTGCCCTTAAAAAATTTTATGCAGATGTAATCTTACAGTATGCTTTTTTGTCTGGCTGCTTTTACTCATCATAATTATTTTGCGATTCATCTGTGTTGTGGCATGTATCAGTATTTTATTTACTTATTTGCTAAATGCTGTATAGTTTATCCATCCTGCTGATGGATATTTGGGTTGTTTGCATTTTTTGGCTGTCACAAATAAAGCTGTTAGGAACAATCATGCACATGTCTTTTTATGGACATACACTTTCATTTCTCTTGGGTACATATCTAGTTGTAGAAGGACTGGGTCATATGGTAAATGAATTTAACTTTTTATGAAAGTGCCAAACTGTTTTCCAAAGGAGTCTGCCTTGTACATACACAGTTCAAGGATCTGCCAGAGATTTGGTCAATTAATTTGTAAAATTTATGGCATCCGCTCTATGACTTTCTCCTTTCAGGTATTTCTCCTTTGACTTTCCAGCTACTCTGGTTTCCCTGAACTCTGTCTTCTAATTCTTGAATTTTGTAAAAGTTCATGTTTCAGAGTTTGAGCCCTCTCCTTTAGCTCTGATGGAGGCCTCCTCTTAGACAAAAGTCCATAAAAACTGAAAATTTATCCACTGCCGTTAGTCTCTTTTTCTAATTATTGACTACATTCTTGTTTCTCCCTGTTTTTGGTCAGTCTCCAGTGTCTTCAGATTGTTGTTTTTTCTATTTTTGTCTAGAATATTAATTCAGTACCCATCTTGGTTTTGAGAACAACAGATTTGCCAGGAATAGCAATCCTGTGAGGCAGAAAGAACAAAGAAAGTAAATCTGGAGTTAGATACATTTGAGATTAAATTCTTGTCTGCAGGCAGGATTTTCTAGGCTTCTAGTTGTTGCTTAACTCCCATGACTCTTAATTTACTTGGGTGTTAACCATCCTTGGGAAGTTAGGTTCTTGGATTTTCAGATTTTACTCATCTGTTTTGAAAACAAGAGTAGTGGAACTGAAAACAGCTATTTCCA